TTCTCATATACGCGGTGCCTCGCCAGAACCGAACTTTCACTTAACGCGGTTCATCTACTCATATACGCGGGAAGCGGCGTGGGCACGATGAGCACAAGGTTGCCCAGTCATCAAAATATTACCGAGTTCTTCACCCGCCACCCACCACAGCCGGCCCAAGTCAGTGATAGTGATAATTATAGTGAGGATATGGATTTATATGGACTTTGAGGGGTTTAACAAAGAGGCCCTGCAAGCCTCTGTGGTGGATAGTGATACAATTGATACAGGTGAGGGCCAATAATCTGCCCTCTGCCTCGGAACCAACCCCCCATCCCCATGTGCCTAGCCATCTTTTCTACTAATGTAAGTGTTAAAAAACCTAATATTATTGATATTTCTCTTAATTATTAATTGTGTGTGCATACCATCATAAAGTTAAGATAATATTTTTACTACAACATAGTTGGGTGTCGTCCAAAAGTGGAGTTTGGGGGTCGGGCCAGTCTCTATTGGAATTAATGACATTTGTTCTGTTGTTCACTTAACGCGGTTTTCACTTAACGCGGTACCCTGTGGGTTCAATTGACCGCGTTAAGCGGGGTACAACTGTGTGTATATATATATATATATATATGCAAGTAAATCACTGTAGGTGTGCGTGATCTAGGTATATGCCGATAACCACAAGGAAAGAAGAAAACACGAAGTTCCGAAGCACTTTCGTGTAATTCACATCTTCAGGGGTGAGTACAGACTGTACTCACCCCTGAAAGATAATTACAGATGCTATTTCACAATGATTATCGACATATACCCTAAAATCGCAACGCACCAATGGAGAACTTACTGCATATATATATATATACTATATATATATATATATATATATATATATATATATATATATATATATATATATATATATATATATATATATATATATATATATATATATATATATATATATATATATATATATATATATATATATATATATTATATATATATGCTATATATATATATATATATAATAACTATATATATATATATATATATATATATATATATATATATATATATATATATATATATATATATATATATATATATATATATATATATATATATATATATATATATATATATATATATATATATATATATATATATATATATAAATATACTGTATATATATTGTTAGTATTTATTCTATAGATTCAATACTAGCACTTGGAGTGTGATAATCATTAAATTAGAAAGGAAATGAATGAGGTAATTTGGGAAGTGAAATTATTTCTTGCATTATGGCATGATGGAAATTTATGTGACATTGTTTATTCATGTTTTTTTTAGAGAATAATGGTATATTTTAAAGATTTAAGAGTGTGCTATATGAAATATGTATCATAAAGCGGTAGTGCATAATGAATAGAGGAGAAAGGAAACATAATATAAGAGAAAATAGAGCAACACAAATAACCAGAGCCAAACATGGCATATTGAGACGGGTTTTGCAATACTTCGTGTCTTCCTGTGCCTTTCATAAATGTCTGGAATACGTGAGTGAGGCGTGTAAAATGTGAAAGGAAATTCAAGTTTTTATGGATATATATGAATTTATTCTTTACCAATATATATTCCCAAAAGTGGTTTACTTCCCTGTCTTAAAATCAACTTCATCTTTGTAATCTAAATTTATATTGTATTCTAGTCCAATAAATAACAAGTGCAGTAGAATAACTAGTCTATTCCGATCTTTTATTTCATTTACCCACTATCATTCTCGTCTGTGCAAAAGTGGTTTTCGCATTTGCCCCCAAGATATAGGGTAACAATAAATAGTATACAGTACTGTATGTGAATAATGGTCAGTAATATAAAATTATGTGACTTCAATGGAAGATAAACTATTTATCGTTGCAGTGTACACTATCTGGCATATCTACTTATGATATTGTCATAATTATGAACACAGAAAAAAAATGTGTTTTCCCTACAAAATCGTAAATTTACCCTAGGTATTATTACTTTATGACTTTTTATTGTTAAATATGGATTCATCACACTTTTTTCATTAAAAAAAAAGTACGTAGTTAAAAAAGTAAATGTAAGCATTTTCATTTTTTTAGTGACTTGACGCTGATTGGGGAATTCCGCCGAAATTGGCCGACGCGGCGAAAGGGTTAGTATGTATTTTGTAATGTTTAGACATTTTTAAGACATTTTTCTTCCATGATATTTCTGCCGCAAATTAAGGATAACCGATATATTAATTTCCAATAATATTATATTTGGTCAGTCACAAGTGTCGCCATGAGTTATTTACATCTGGCGGAGAAGGTCTGACCCTCCCCTTTACTTCCGTGTTCGCTTCCTAAGCATCTACAGCGCATGTGCAGGGGGTAGCGTGGGAGTTTCTTATTGGCTATAGCGAGAGGAGACTTATTATTGGGCAAGAGTTTTTTGTCTTGGCCAATAAACAATGCCGAACAGGTGGAAGAGCTGTGGCGACATTGTGATAGAGATTATTTTACGTCATTTGCCGAGTTTCATCAGGAAAATAGTGAGGCCATTTAACTGTTTATAAAACACGGAGTATTACCAAACGTTACTTGTCCAAGCGTAATAATATGTGTACACTGTGTGAAGAACTACAGATGAACTGACTCTTGTTGAGGTTAATGTAAGATCCATATCAGGATAGGTTAAAGAAACTAAACTTGCATTCCCTAGGAAGACGAAGAGTGTGGGGAGATATGATAAAAGTACAGTACTACCCCGCTTAACGCGGTTTCGCTTAGCGCGATTTCACGTATACGCGGTGCCTCGCCAGAGCCGAACTTTCACTTAACACGGGTTTTTTCCACGTATACGAGCAGAGTGTCCGGCTCGAGACGCTATTTTTAGATTCGCCCCACCCCCCACCCGCCTGCCTGCCTGCTCTCGCCTCTCCCTCCTCCCTCCGCCTGGGCAAGCCGCGCTGTAAGGTTGCCAGTGTGTGTCTTCTACTAACGTAAGTGTTAAACCTAACCTTTAGTTTTCCTAACCTAACCTTTATTTTTCCTAACTTAACCTTTATTTTTCCTAACCTAACCTCTTCTATATTACTTGTTTGTTCATACCATCATAAAGTTAAGATAAAATTTTTACTACAACATAGTTGTGTGTCGTCAAAAAGTGGAGTTTGGGGGTCGGGCCAGTTTCTATTGGAATTAATCCCATATGTTCTGTTGTTCACTTAGGCGGTTTTCACTTAACACGGTACCCTGTGGGTTCTATTGACCGCGTTAAGCGGGGTACTACTGTAATTAAGTGGGTGAAAGGAATCAATAAAGGGGATATAAATAAAGTTCTTACAATATCCGAGCAGGATAGGACTCGGAACAACGGATTTAAGTTGGATAAGTTTAGGTTTAGGAGGGAGATAGGAAGGAACTGGTTCACAAATAGGGTGGTGGACGAGTGGAACAAGCTTAGCAACTTTGTAGTAAGTGCTGGAACGCTGGAAAGTTTTAAAAGGAGGCTGGATAGATACATGGATGATAGAGAGTGGTAGTAACTCTCGACAGGAGCTGCCATGCACAGACCAACCGGCCTATTGCAGACTCCTTATGTTCTTATGTGGGGGTGTGAACAAAGGGGGTCAGTGGTTAGGTTAGGTTGATTGTTTTGGGGCCTTTTTTATGGTTTTTACACAGGAAAAAAGGGGTAGGTTAAATTAGGTTACATTTCTTTCAGTTTTAGACACATTTTTTTTCAATTGTTTTTGATAAGTTTGGACGATTGTTACCTTGTTTTTCATTGTAACTCATCTATTTCTGTGATTTACCCAACAAAAAAATCCAATTTTCCAACATCTTCCCTTGTTGAGGGAGGGTATCTAAAAATGAGTGATTTCCTGCATTAATGAATATCAAATTCATTTAAAAATCATCAAATACCATAGGAAAAACATATTTCTAATATCCAAATAAAGCCCGGTGCTCTTCTATAAATTTACTGATTCCGCTGAACTTTTATTGATGTTTGTAAGGTAGGAATCTAGTTTCCTTCTATAGATTTTTCCAAAGTGGCTCATATCATAATAACACAATGTTTTAAACCACTAATACTCATTCTCTGAACTGTCTCGTAAATTATCATCAGTTTCTCATACATACCTTTACAACCACTAAGAATACCATAAAAAAAAGATGAAAGAGCAGAGGCTGAACTCACTGCCTAGGGTGAAGCAATAGTGATGTTTAGTCTCCTAATGGTATGTGATAATGGCCATTCCATATCAGAGATAAAACAGGAAATCATTGTCACATGCTGATAACACCTCTTGTGACTCACAAAGGATGACATAGGAAACTTTTTAAAGAATGACAAGACAATAAACTAATTATTACGGTCCGAGTAATTACCCAAATGAACCCACAATGAAGTCAAATAATGGTCCTACATGAATAAATCAGACTGCTAATCACTTCTCGACTAGTATTTGGTGTCAGAGTCACAAAAAAATGGTAAACTTAATTTAATCTGAGTTGTGTTAGGTTAGGTTACGTTCAGTTAGATTAGGTTAGGTACATGCACTTGATCTATTAAGTCCGATTAAATTAAGTTTACCAATTTTTTGTGACTTTCTGACACCAAATACTAGTCGAGAAGTGATTAGCAGTCTGATTTATTCATGTAGGACCATTATTTGACTTCATTGTGGGTTCATTTGGGTAATTACTCGGACCCAACTACTACACTATAATTTGGTTCTTTAACGCTAAATATATCTTTAAACTACATGTGTTACAGTGAGCCAGTGTCTTACCTTCCTCTTGTGTTTACAGACAATTGTGGCGTCGCTTCTTCACACAAGTTGACCCAGGAGAGACTCACCACCAGGAGAGACTCACCACCAGGAGACACTCACCACCAGGAGAGACTCACCACCAGGAGAGACTCACCACCACCAGGAGAGACTCACCACCAGGAGAGACTCACCACCAGGAGAGACTCACCACCAGATGACTCACCAAATGGCGGGTTAGAGGCCCTGGCTGTCTGTTTTAACTCCTGGCCGCTGGGTATTGTGACTGCACAGTGACACAAACTTGATGAGAAGGGATGAGCTCCGCTGGTGTGTTGTGTGCGGCACTCAAGGTTAAATACGACTTGCGACCTTGAGCGGTTCGGTACGCTGATTACTTCCACTTCTATTCATTTAATTGCCAAATGATTGGTTTTCTAGATACAGGAGAGTTCAGATAGCATTCTTATAGTCTCGCCATCACCTGCGATGTGGCAGCTGTACACCCTGTACCGTGTGCGGGCTAATATACGAGACACTGACAGCCAGCCAGGGGAGGGTACAGGAAGAGGATGTTTTTGAAGAGTCCAAGGGAGGAGACTTACTTATCGTCGGGTGTATCTACAGATAACCCGAACTGTGGCCCACTAAATCAAAGGAACTTAAGAGCCTTAATAGACAATGCAGCGATGCTCAACCCTAGCCACCTCCTTATCATGGGAACTTTAACTATGACGACATCGGCTGGAGAAACGAGATTGTGGGGTATGGGTTGTTTGTGTTCTCACTCAGGATGGGATGGAGAAAGGAAACTCACAATGTGCTCTCTGTATACATGTTGTATTGGATGTACAATGCAGCTTGGTGCTGGGAAGTGGCAGCGTGGTTACAAGCGTGATGTAGAGAGAGCTGGTTGGTGAGGGTGCTCAGAGGAGGACAGCTTGTGGGTCGCCATGCTCGCCGGCGGGAGCGAGGACCGCCAGGCAGGAGGAGGAGGTGTTGCTTGCTGGTTGGTGTAGGTAGAAAAGAGGTAGGTCACCACGAGGTCAAGTCTTATATAGCGGAGGTAGGCGTGGCTTAATAGTTGACCTCCGTCATGTAAGGCAGCGCTGGTTGACCCAGACCACGAGGCATACACTGGGGAGTTCGCGGGGTCGGCTACTCAACGACAAGCGTTTGTAGGGGAGGGATCCACTACAAGTTCACCCCAAATGACTTGAATAACCATGCTACTCTTTTTTGTAGAAACTCTGAGAGAGACCCGACACATTACAGAGAGGAGCAAACACCCAGTACACTAGACCTCATCATAACAGACGAGGAGAGTATGGTGGCCAAACTGGAACACCTTGCCCCAGTTGGCACCAGTCACCATATAGTGTTGTCAATCAGATTTAACTGTTACCTAGTTCAAGATAAGGCCAGGCCAAGGTGCAAATATTACTTTTACTTTTTAGTTTTATCCTCTTCACCACTGATCGGCTCGTTAGCCGCCCGGGCGATCGGTCACGTCTGTTACACACTGTTGGCAAGTACTGGGCATGCACCGGCTCCTGAATGTACCTGAACCCGCTCCAGTGTTGGTCAAGTCTGGTCTTGAAAGAGCTCACACTCGGTGCCGTCACAACACTCTCTGGTAGATTGTTCCAAGAGTTCACAACTCTCACTCCGAAAAAGTTTGCCCTCACAGTTTTCTGGACTTGCGGCTTCTTCAATCTTGAGCTGTGACCCCTTGTGGGGCGAGCGTCCGCCAGCTCCAAGTAAGGACACTCACCTGAGTAGTGCCCCCTGAGATGCTTATACACCTCAACTAGGTCCCCCCTTGCCCGTAGGTAGTATAAGCTAAGCAAGTTCAGGCGCTCCAATCTCTCAGGGTAGCTGAGGTGCCGAAGTGCAGGCACCAGTCTGGTCAGGGCCGGATTCAGGAGTGGGCAAAGTGGGCAGCTGCCCAGGGGCCTCCACAATCTGGGGTCCTCCACGTATTACAATATTTTATTTATTTGTTTATTCAATCGGATTATTTTTATTTTCATTCTTTAAAATTCATGTTTATCTATTCCATCACGTGAAACTATGTTCAGCAAGAAGCATGATAGAAATTAGGCTTGCTACTCCTTGAAATTCATGAATACCTGGTTTTCCTACGAACCGTATATTTTTAATATAACTGCATATGGCTTCAAAATTCTCCAAAGAAGTGTTCAAATTTCAAAATTTTCCCGGTGGGCTTACATCGTCCCCCGGAACTCCCAGATGTTTAGGCTTGCTTCACTCGCCACCCCACCCTCTTGGGTAGTTATAATGAGGGGGGCCTCCACAAAGAGGCTGCCCATGGGTCTCCACAGGCCTAAATCCGGCACTGAGTCTGGTGGCCCTCCTTTGAACACTTTCAACTAACTGACAGTCCCTAGCATATCTCGGGGACCAGATGGGGTGACAGTACTCCAGATGGGGAAGCACTTCACTCCTGAAGATCGTTACGAGGGACGGACCGTCTACATATCTGAACGACCTTCCTATAAGACCCAATAATTTATTTGCCTGATTTACCTTCTTCTCGCAATGGCCCGAGAACTTCAGCTCATTGTCAACATACACACCTAGGTCCTTCTCACACACAGTCTCAACTAGTGCAGTTTCTTCATCCCGTTGGGACATATGATACCTTGGTACCGTTGGTACGCCCCAGCCATCCTTTACACCATTGGCGTTGATGGTAATGACGGCTAACCTGATAAATTAATGATCCATATTACGCTTACACGTCCATAAAACCTTCTGAGTCTCCCAGTGGAAATGTCTGCCGTTCTCTGTTTCCTTGATGACGTCATCGAGTTGTCATGTGTTTGTTGACGGAAGTTTGTAAACTCTTTCGGCTACCGAGAACCTGTAAACCTTTAGCAGAGACTCTGATATCAAAGTGAAATTGTGGAAGGGAGATTAACTAGGGAATTAGTTAATATTCTGAAGGGAACTTTTAAAATCGGCCTCGGGTGTTACAGCAAGGCGTTGCGTGTTGGGACCTGTTGCCATCCAACCTTTTGTAATCAATTTAATTCTTGCTTTTGATTGTTCAGTCAGATCATTGTTTGTAAAGATAATAATAGGGAATGAAACTGAGTTCGTAGTCTCAGTTTCAAACGTCAGAGTGTTACAGTAACGTAATTCAGTGAAATGGTTGAGTAGGTGGAATCTGTGACCTGGCGTGGGTGGAAGGCGGTGGTTGGTTTTTCGAATCAGTGAGCCGCCACGCTTCCCTCCCACAGGTAGGTCATCCCACCTTCTCTGTGTTGTAATTCGCCGTTTTTAAGTGATTTGACCTAATTAATAGTTTGATTACAAGTGTTAAAGTAACGTAGTTAATGTGCTTTGAGTGAAGTATTTTACGTCCTTACTTAATGCCCCTTTGAAACGTTGAGGTTCGTTATACACCGTGAGTGAGCCGCCACGTTTCCCTCCCACAGGTCCCTATCGCAGCTTAGGCAGTGACTGTAGCATGGATGACGCATCCACTAGTCTTGGGAGATGTCTGAGGTCCAGTGGAGTCGGGTGACCCCTTGAACCCCGACCGTCAGAAGCTCCACTACCACCCATGGACCCCATAGGGGTTAGTATTCCCCTAACGCCCTGCCCCTGTGGTGAACCCGGATCTTCAAGCCCCCAAACTACAGCCAGCCCCTTCATTGGTGGATGAGTACAGTACATAACTCGGTGGGGCTGTTGGTGTGGTGGTGTAGTCCACCGGAATAATCGGAGATTGTTGAAAGGTGTCACTTGGTGATGAGACTCCCATGGTGGCCGCTGGAGTATTGCCCCTGGGGTATTGAGTGATGTACTGGCAGGTGCCACTGGTTTTAATGGTGCTAAGGTGCTGTGAGAGTTATGTGTGTTTTGTTGTGTGTACACCTGGTAGTGGTGCAAGTAAATTGAGCCTGAGTGCAGGGTACCAGGAGTTCCTGTTTTGGGTGAATACAACGTCTTTTCTGTAACCATTTTTGTGTTTAATAAACATTGTATTTGTATGTGAGTCTATGATTCACCTATAGTATTCACCGTTGTTCTCTCCCTAATACTCGATACTATATTTACATGTACCCAAGGGCCTTCCTCTCACGTCACGCTACCAGGTCAGAGTATCAACGTAAGTTGCAAGAGTGCCAAGCCCTCGCAGGGTGGCAGCTAGTTGTTGTTCATACCCCCCCCTTACACTGGAGCCCATGAAGGTCATTTTGTACTGCGCACATCATTGTCATTCCTAAAAACCCCATTTAATTCATATTACGCTATATAACATTCAAATCCACCGCGCTTGTAGAACCTCAGAAAACGGGAAACATTGATAAAGGATAACTCACCTACTCAATGTTACTAGACCATGTGTTGTATTGTACCCAGTTACAGTTATATAATATTAATTGTATGTATTCATAGCATTAATGAGAACTCAGGGTATCCATAAGATGAATGTTAAAGTCCAGTTGAGCCGGACTAGTGTACTGTAAGACTAAGTGTGGATCGGGGTTTGAAGGTCATACTATTTACGTCTGTGAGCGTGTAGCGAACATAACTTCCACGGATATCATATGAAAATACATGAGAACAATGGTCTGGAAAAAAGATAAATGTAATAGAACTATGTGAGGTGTTGGAAGTGACCCAGAAACTATACTTGAAAGGACATATCTTGTATGCGTCGGTATGAACTTAATACACCTCGTATCCTCACGTGACATATACCCATGACAGGTACAGTGATCAGAGAATCTTATATCTGTGTTCAAATAGTGCAATGGGTGAGAGGAGGATTCCTAATTACAGTTTTAAGTGAAGTTGATACACCCCCGCCATGAACATTCGGCCTTTGTTTTAAGGTGAGTCCTGCACCTGCCTCGAGTGTGCCGTGTTGATATTATAACCCAATGAATTTACCCACGAATTAGCAAACCAGAACCTTACCTTAGTTTGTACTTTAGGGTTAAAATATGTGTTTATTAGGCATGAGTGACAATATGCCGAAAAGTGTTCAGGTGAGAACCGTAAGAAATAAAAGTACAAATTAAAGATTGGAAACTGTAGGCCTACGCGGTGACGAGCGGCGGGGCACTGCCCTCAGTGCCCTCCGTTCTCCCGTCACCTCAGGTCAGTGTCCTATCGGGCTATATCCCGCCCTATAATTAAGGCTTATATAGAAGTTATTATAAGAAGGTCGTTCATCTGCGTTCGTCTTGATACCCACAAAATGTTCTATACTACTGAAGGTATACACAAACACTTGTTCTCTTAAAAGTAGGTTCTACAGTATTCTCGTACGGGAGATATATACAAGGGGACCCAGAAGCTCACTTCCGCACCACAAGGACTGGCTGTCTTTACTCTCTCTATGTATTGCTGCGCGCTGCATGTACAGATGCCAGCATTCACAAGCTGAATACATAAAGTATAAATATGATAATTTATATACATAACATGGTGCACAATAAACGGAAATATTACATAGAATTAATACATGTTCTGTAATACTTACTATACATAATTAATAGAGTAATATAAGAGTAATATAATAATACACAGCTTAAGGTACTACTTCGTGTCCATATCATACACCTCCCTCCCCCCTATACGCTCATAGTTTCATCTTGAGCGGACCTTTTGTTTCTGAGTCGCTCGGACCTGCGGAGTACCGGGGCAGAAACACAAGGCGGGGATGGATTTACTTTAGAGACATCAACATTAGGGGACTCAACTGGGGAAGGGTCAACACTAGGCAGCTCCACAGGTCGGAGGAAACGACGGTTCCT